CGCGACCCGCCCTACCCCACCCTATGCCATCCGCCCCACCCGGGCAGCCTGACCTTGTAGGGACTGCTTTTTCAGGAAAGTATTGACAAACAGCGGGTGGAGTAGGCAAGCGCGCGGCGTAGCGCGGCGGGGGTGGGCGCCGCCCGCTGCAGCACCCTGTCCGCCCCTTGTCCAACCCGGTGCCCATCCATCGCCGGCGATGTCGCTATGTGCGGCGGGGGTGGGTGGACGCCGCCCGCTGCAGCACCCAGTACCCTCCGCCCCTTGTCCAACCCGGTGCCCATCATCGCCGGCGATGTCGCGATGTGCGGCGGGGGTGGGTGGACGCCGCCCGCTGCAGCACCCTGTCCGTCCGCTGTCCGCAGCCCGGCGATGTGGGGCGATGTCACGGCGATGTGCGGCGGTCGTGACTGCGGCCGCTGGGCCGGCCGCGCCGCTGTAACGGTGTAACGCAACGCACCGACCCACTTCCCCGCCGCTGCCGCCGCTGAGCCCGACGGGCCGCGCCGCGACGCCACGGACGCCACACGGCGGCGCCACGCTAGCAAGCGTCGGGCCTTCCTCTTCTAGGAGCGCCGGGCCACGTGAAATGCGCCGCGCTTTTCTCTAAACTTGAGAATCGCTTTGCCCTCCGTCCAGTTAGTTACAGGGGCCAGCGGCCAGTGGGGCTGATCGTTGTTGGCGTGCGAAAATCTCTCGCTCCGGGGGCCGGGGAGGGGCGGGGCGGGCCGTCGCGTGAGCGCCGCGAGTACTGCTCGAGCTTGTTGTCGGGGTGAGTCGGGGTCGCCGCGCCGCGTCCGCCGCGATCTGGAGTGCTGCGCCATTCTGTGCCCGCCCCGCTGGCCCCGCCCCGCGCCGCATCGCGGAGTAAAACGGCTCGACCGAGGTGACCCCGGGCCCGCCGCCGCCTGCCTGGAGGGGCTGAAGGGCACAACGGCTCCGAGTTGGCCGCGGAGCGTCCACTGCCCGCTCCCCCGTTCGGGCTGGACAAACTGCAGGACCTAAGTGGCTTGGAGGTTGCCTATCCTGGGGGGGACATCTTTTGATCAACTTTACGGGCGGCGCGGTGCAGCGCCACGATGGAGACGATGCGCGCTGCGGTCGCGCGGGGGGCCGGGTTGGCAAGTACATACGGCTGGTTGGCTGGTGGCGCGACGGAACCGGACGGGTCGTGTGGCGGCGGGGCGGCGACCTACCGTAACTGTATCGGCGACCATGTGCCCGTCCGTCCTGCCTGCCCCGTCCTGTTTCGTCCCGGCCGCGCGACTCGTTTGCGGGGATTGTGGGGCCGGGGG